GCGGCGGGGCGAGCCCGGCGGGCGGGTCGGCGCCGTCGCGGGGCGTTTGCTTTGGTTTTACCCCAAAACCACGGGCTTTTCCTGCGGGGCTGACAGCCTCGGGGTGCCGCGYGCTGCGGGGCAGCCCAGCCCCGGAGCAGCCGCCGGTTGTGGTTTTCCCTCGGGCCCCTGGAAGCCTCTTGCCAGGAGCCCCCGCGCTTGTCCGCACAGGTCCGAGCCGGAGCCGGAGCTGGAGCTGGGGAGGACGGAGCAGACACTTGGCCGCCAGTAAGCGCATCCCCACGGGAACGTGCCCGGAAGAGGGGCTGCCGGGTAAATGTACATCCCCCTCCCTGGCCTGGAATAGTCTTCCTGCACACGGGGCTCCCACGGCTGCTCCTTGCCCCAAAGTGCGGGATAGGCTTTAGGCACCGCTTATCCGATTGTGAAAGCCTGGCAAAATGCCTTTCTAGCGTAGCGAGGGGCGCCGATGGTTACGGACCGGCGAGCGTGTTCTGCCCCTATCTCGTGACAAGAATTCCAGAGACTTGCTCCCACCGAGCTGCGCAGCAAGGCAGCAAACCCACAGTAGTTACCTCATGATAGGAAGCCATTTATTTTCTCATTAATCTACAAAGGTAAACCCTAAATTTCTCAACTCCAACTCAAATATTTGCAGTATCTCAGTCACATTGGTTGTCTTTTGGAAGGATGGTTCAGAGCAGGAGGAGAGGAAGCCTGTCCTGTTCCTTGTGTTTTYCTTGCAGGTACCTCTGTAGCACCAGCTTTCTGAAGCTCCTTTCGCCTGCTTGGGACACTCAGCTGGTCGGCAGCATGACGTCTGCTGGGAGCCCCTCAAAGCTTCTCCTGGCCCTCATTCCGTTGCTGCTTGTGCTGCCCGCAGTTGAAGCCCTGGATGCCGGAGATACCGTGGCCTTCCTGGTGGGCCTCGCCGTCAGCATCGTTGGGTTCTGTGCCTGCCTCGGCCTGTACGCCAGGAAAAGGAATGGGCTGCAGTGATTAAGGGAGATGCTCAAACCAAGTGCAACTTGGAACTCTGCAGGGATCGGGATGTGGGGTTTACAGCTGAGCTTTGCTTTTGGATAACCCTCAAAAACCTCAAGTAGATGGTTCTGCAAGCCCTTTTTACTGTGCAATACAACAGAATAAAGGGTGCACCCAGTAAAAGGGATTTGCAGGATCTGTTCTCCTGACACTGAGGTCATCTCATATAGTCTGTGATTAAATGCTCCCTTAGAGATGCTAAGAGCTTTTCTGAAAGGGGAAGGAAATTCATAGTGCGGTTCACAGTAAATGTTTATAAATGTGTGAGGGAGCCCATGCAACAAGTTCCTCAGTTCTGGTTTCAGGGTTGTCAGGAGGAAGCAGCTATTAATCTTCCAGTGAGGATGACACCGATTTGGAGGTGCTGAAGCACTTCTAATCAGATAAGTAAAGAGCATGCTGCTCAGACTGGTTTGTGTCTGTGCGCTCAGGTTCTTTGTAATGACAGTTAAAATAAACCCCTAACACCTCACTTGTGGTGACGGAGATGAGACCTGGGAGAACTAAGAACACACGGAAAACTTTTTACTTCCATATTCTTATTTTAGAATGTACCCTTCTCTAGCCTCTGTTCTTGTCACAAAGTAGTTGCACATGAGTGGGGCTGATTTTTCTTTAAAATGTATTTCATAGGAAATTATATTTAAAGCTTTATAAATCACGAGAGAGACGTTTTATCTGTTTTGTTTATTTTCTGTACTCAGCTTTCAATTAAGCACACCAGGTTTCAGGGTTATTTCATTTGGCTTTTTAAAATTATTCTCTTTTTTTTCTAAAATTGAAGAATTACCTGATTTACTATTACATCTGCATTAAGGGCCGTATTAGAATTATAACATAGCAGTTATGCACATGTTCTTTTTTTTCAATATAGTAAATAAAAACAACTTGTTTTAATAAAATCATGATTTTATTGAACAGGTCCCTGGTACTTGAACAGCTTTCACYTGACAAACTTAATTTGTTAACACATTTAGGATTTTTTTTTCTAATGGATATGTTTGAGTTCCATGGAAGAATAAGACCAAAGACAAAGGACAAAGGAAAAAATCATGATGCAAAATGGGAGACAGTTAATAACCTTATCCTATTCATGCTCAGTCAGGTTGTCGTCTTGAATTCATTTTGACTTTATGCTGTGTGTTTGAGAGAATCTAGCAGGACCTGCTTTCTTTTAGTAGCAAAGGGGAAATGACAGAGCCAAGAGTTTGTCACAAATCCCAGTGGCTTCTTGGGGCGTTCTAGCTGTCAGCTTGACAAAAGGATCAGAGCCTGTAAAAGTAAGTAGCAGCAAGAGGATAAGCACAGAATTTCCTTCCAGTCTTGTGGGCACTGCACTCCCATGCTAGAAATGCTCACTTTTGGATTTCAGAGCTGGGGAGGAAGGTTAGATGGGATGCAGTGTATTTGGATAGTATTCTTCCCCCTGCCCTTCTCCCTAAATGTGTCTGGTCACGTGGTTGGAAGCATTGCTGGTAGATCTTGTATGAATGGGCAGATTTTATTTGGATTTCTCCAAATTCTAAGATTTATGTCTGTCATTTGTAGCTGTTTTGGCTTCTGTTTCCATCTTCTGAGGAGACAGAAGTCATGGTTATTTTAGTCTCTTGCCTTTCCTCTAAATAGCCACAGCTGATGGAGAAAGGTAAAAGGAGAGGTTCTAAAATGTGTGCTTGAAAATGCAGGGCTCAGCCTGGCTAGGCACCAGAGTGAAGGTTGTGGGGGCTTTGTTCCCGCTTCTAGAGCAGCAGGAAGTGCTGAGGTGCCGTGCGAACCTTGTCTGGTAGCTCTCTGGAGTCTTCTGTGGCTTTTCTAAGAACAGGACAGCTGTTACAGTGACAGAAATTCGCAGCTCTGAAAGGAGCATCAAAGGTAGGAGAATGCCTTACCTTCACAGGCTGTCCAGCAGCTACAGATGAACTTAGATGTGGTTTTACTATGGGGCAGACGCAAGTGTGTCCTGCTGCATACCAGCTTTCCATACCTGAACCCCGCTAAACCATTACCTGACCTTCTCGGCTTTTCTCATCTTCACTTTGGAAAAAGACCCCTGGTAATAGTCTCACAGAATTGTGCAACAGTTTCACCATGAAAAGCAGGAGAGCGAAACCTTACCACCATAATTACTGTCAAGCTACAGGGCTATCAGGAACTCTTCCTGGCCTGAAGTGGCATGAACCTTATTGAAAGGTGCCTGTTAATGGTGAGTTTCCTGGCTTGCAACAGAAGCCATTGTGTTGTTAAAGGCTTGCATTTTTTGGTGATTAGAAAGTAGTATAATGTCAGATATCCCTACTTTTCTTCTGTTTTAATAAATCACTATATGTTTTGTCATAAGTTAGGTGAAGTAGTTCTTGTAGAAAGGAAACTAGGAATGACAGGAATGGCGGAAACTGTTGAATTCTTTATATTAAATATTGTTTTGTTCTTCTCTTACATTAGGTGACTTTATAAAATAATGTGGTATATGTTTTCAGTTGACCTTTTGTACCATGAGTGTGCTTTACTTTTTCCTTTTATATATATATAAATTATCTCATTTCCTTATCAATTGCTCTAGAGCACTTTAAAGGAGCTGGTCCTCTTACTTTGAAATCGACAGCATTCAATTGCAAAGCTTGTTATTCTGGTACAAGGGAAACTTGAGGTATTTCCTTTCTCCTTYAGACTGTGAATTTTCAACATTATGATTATATAGTTGCCTTTGTAGTACAAAAGTCATTCATAGCAATTTTCTAGCTGGAAACCCAAGGAGATAAAGGACCGTTTTCATTTTTTTTCCCACAAATATATATGTGTGTGTTCTAGTCCTTTATAGTTACTTGAATAATACATTTTTTAGCCTTCAAAAGAGCTGGTTTTATCTCAGCATTTTATGAAAACAGGGTTCTAGTTCTTCTGGGACTCAGCTCAGCGCACAAAGCCATTCACTTTGCACTAAACGAGCGCATCATTAGCGGCTATCTCCGGAGCAGAAAGAAAAATGCAATTTACCCTTTAATTAATGTAAGAAGGTTTTCAGCCAGGAGCAGGTCCTTCTGCCTGCTATGATTTCCATGTGCTTTAGCTCAGCCACCCTACACRCATTTAACCGTGGACACACAGCCCGTTTGTGAGCACTGAAGTCTCGCTGCTCGCTGTGTAGCTTCAAGCACTGCAGAGCAGCCAGGGCTTGGCCRTTCTGCCGTGAAGGGGCTACCTGGGGCTGGCAGGCAAGCACTGCACTTAGCTGCTAATACACTTGCCTCCCTTGATGTTTTAAAGCTGATAAGCCTCTGCTGTGAACCTGTTCTCCCACTCAGCTAAACGCCGCTGCTGGTGATGCCGCTTTAATACTCCAGTGAGACTCAGCCGCTCTACAGCATCTTCCATCTGAGAGCCCTAAAGTGCTTGCAAATACTAATGTTTGCATCCCTACAGTATTCTTTTGTGAATGGCAAGGGCGATAGGAGTTGGTGACTTGACCGCCGTTTCACAGCGGTGTCTCCCAGATGCTCGCAGGGATTTCTGTGGGGTGACCCACATGCTCACAGGGATTTCTATAGGGTGACCCACATGCTCACAGAAATTTCTTGAGCCCTGTGTGGCAGCGGCTGTCGAGCCACGTGCCCCCATGCAGGAGCTACCCCGGACCAGCCCCGCACTCTGTGTACTCACCAGCTGCTGGTTCCTGCTTTTGCAAAAAGCTGCTTCCATAGGCTTTATAAGAGGGGAGCTGGGAGCAGAGTTTACTGTTTGTAGCAATATCAAACAGAACTAAATGGAAGAACCGTCCATGGTCCGTWACCATGGCACAGGCTCTAACTTACACTACAAAAGTAACTTTTCCATTCATTTTAGACCTGGTGAAAGGTTTGGCAGAGCTAAGCTGATGGAGTGACATGGGATTGCTAGGAGTGAYTGGATCTAGTTGTCCTCCCAGTTTGCATGTGGACAAGTTGTTGGTAAATGATCTGAAGTCAATGGAGAGTGAGGTTGTTCACCAAATTACGGAAACAAGACCACTAAGTGAGAACCCAATCCAGCAAAACAGGTTTTAGGTGGTTAAAGAGATGCAGGACTGAAAACACTTCTGAAGCTTCTGAAATTTTAAGGGACAATTTTTTAATACGCTAGATATTGACAGACAACAAATGTGCTGGAAGACTGTTGAGGAACATAAACAATTTAAAAATTCTTAAGATTTTCAGTTCATGGGAATAGGCAATAGCACCTAAATATTATATTTTCAGTATTCAGAAAGCATACCAATATATAGCGCATCTCCAAAACTCAAATTAGGAAAGCAAGTGGTGATATACCTCCTAAACTTAATGTGCATACAAAGATAAACCTATTTTATACTGAACAAGTAGAAGACTAATAAAATTATATAGATATTTCAAACATTACCACATTTTCCATTGGTATCCTAAGCTTAGTTTCCCATTAATTAAATTTGAAAATATGTGGGAGACTTTATCAAATTACGGCATGGGCACAACAGGCAGCTAGCGTGTCCTTTTTATTCTGGATCATTGAGCAGATCAGAGCCTAGTTTTTCACCCAAAAAAAAAAAAAAAAAAGGCAAAATAAGGCTGTCCTTTAGAAAGCAAAGCAAAACAAACAATATAAACAAGCAGTAAAAGCAGTGGAGACCTGTAAGTGGAGTGGCCTCTAGCAGTACCAGGAGTCAAGATGTTAGAGAGGCAGGGTTGGGTAGTTTGCTCTACTTGAGGCTTACCATAGTGTCTGCCTTCCTCCCACTAGTCTTTATCTTGGAAATGTTAATTGAAATGTTATGAGCCATTTTCCCAGCTGCCATTCATTCAAGGCACTAAATTAAGCGTGCACAGCTTCATACTCTTGCCATCCATTTTGCAGCTTGAGCTTGAGAGTTACCTTTTCTTTCCAAATGGTGTCAAAATCCTGCAGAGCAACATAGTTGTGTAAAACTTCTTAGAGTCTTTTTTCTTCTCATCTCAGGTTTGTGCAGCATTTGGCACACATGGCCACACTATAAAGAGTAAATAACACAACTAAGAGCATCTCTCCATCCTATCCTTCAGAAAAGAAGCAGTCATAAAACATCATCAATTTTAATCCTGGCATAAATTGGAAGAAAAGTTGTCACTTTTATCCAAATAAGTTCATTTCTGTTCCATGAATTACCTGTGAAACCAGAAGGTCTTTAAGTACTTCTAGAACTGCTCAAAGACATTTTCTGCCAACCTTTCTCAGAACTCGTTTGGCTACGGAAATTATGTGGTAAAAAATGGCACTTTTTCTCAGGCTTTAGCCTAACATGATCTAGCAGTGATTGCTCATAAGTCATTCAGCAGCAATTTCAAACTTTGTCTGGATCCATTCAAAAGATCGGGAGGATCAGAAGCCGTTTTGACTCATTTTTCTTCGAAAGCGAGTACTTACATCGGTGTCTGCATGAACAGCAAGGAACAATTGCGCCAATTTAAAGTTTGATCTTTTAAGAAAGGCCTTCTGTGGTCAACTTCCAAAAGTCCATCTGAGAAAGTTTATAGTGTAGAGAAGAACAATTGCATTACCAAGTGATCTTTTTCATAAAAACTTCTCGCATAAGTCAAAGATATTGATCGTATATCCAGAGCAGTTGCCAATAAGAAACAGGTATTCAGCAATAAATGTCCCATGGTAATGCTTTCCTTGCATTTGCTGAGAGAAAACATGAATTCCAGAAACTGTAGCATTAAAAACAGGCAAGAAGTGTTTTTCCAAAACCAAGTTAGTGCTATCTGGCATGACTATGGCCCAGTCAAAAACTCAGTGAAGTCAGCCAAAAAGAATTTATTGGCTTAAAATCAAATCAAGCTTTCTTGAAAGAGTAGTGAAGCTGTATCTTTTGGAAACCACATAACTTGTTTAGGACCACCACATTCTGTGCCACAGTTAGGGCAGCGAGCTGCCCCCATGAAGGGAGTGCTGGATAATCTCAAATGCT